ACACTACGCGTACGGACGGAGCACAGTGAGTGCGTTGAGTATATACCACGATATTATACATCAACGCTACACTACGCGTACGGACGGAGCACAGTGAGTGCGTTGAGTATATACCACGATATTATACATCAACGCTACACTACGCGTACGGACGGAGCACAGTGAGTGCGTTGAGTATATACCACGATATTATACATCAACGCTACACTACGCGTACGGACGGAGCACAGTAAGGCGTTGAGTATATACCACGATATTCAACGCTACACTATACGCGTACGGACTGAGCAGAGTGAGGGCGTTGAGCTATGGCGACGAGTGCTCACACTAACCCGGCCTACGACGGCGTAGATATCGAAACAAGCAAGTATGAGGACACGTCGATTGCAACAGACGGCAGTTGCGATAATCTGTCTTTCAAGTCGGCACCCGGATGTGAGTTGTCGGTCGTGGCGACGACGCTCCTCGGTGTTGTTTGCGTCGCTCTCATCGTCGCCATAGGCCTCATCGTCGGCCTCACCGCTCCCGCCTGCCCGCTGCCGCCGCCCGCGCCGACGTTCCCGCCGTGGACCGACACGCGGCTTCCTGAGAACCTCCTTCCGATTCACTACGACGTGGAGCTTCAGCCATTCCTGCCTCCAGCGGGAGACTTCGAATTGAAGGGGTCCGTGAGGATACGGTTTAGAGTGGCGAAGGCGACCAGCATCATCATTCTCAGCTGTGATCAGATCAAACTGGATAAGTCGAGCATCGAGGTGAAAGCGCTGTCGGCAGACGTCGCCCAGCCGACGTACGTTGACGCCAAGGTCGACGCCGACAACATGTACTGTTTCATCATAGTAGAGGGGGAGCTACAGGCGGACAAGGAGTACTCGGTGTTCATGAAGTTCCAGGGAGTTATTAACGATGGCCTGCACGGATTTTACAGGACCAAGTACTTGGGGGTAAATGGAAGCGTCGAGTAAGTTAAAATATTAGAGTTCGCGGAGGTTGGAGGTTATTTTGTTCGTTTCGCCATTTTTTTGTTATTGTTTTTGTTTTTGTTTATCGATTTACCTGTAGGAGTTAGTGTGATGGTGACAGGTATAAAACGCTGTGTAGGCGAATAGGCGACGCCTGCAAACGAGCTAGAAGCTGCTAGCGATTGAGTGCAATTCAGCTAATGATTTTAAGTTGGTTCCTCGCATGAACGTAGCGGTAGCGCACAGAGTGAACGAGAGTCTACTTACACTGCTAAATTCGAGAAATGTGCGCGATATATATAAGATGCGAGCACGCAGCGCAGCTACGAAGGAACAACTGTGTAGACGAACGGAGACGCCTGCATCGAGGAAGCCTAGCTGTGAAGCTCTGTTCATCACGCCATCCTCACGCGCCGTCACGCGCGGAGAAGCGCCGACTTGTACGGAGGGACATTTTTACCGCGAGAAAGACGCATGCGGAATTACACGAAGCAGATGTGTTAGTTTCCCGATGAACAGACGTGCATTTAGACTTACTGTTGAACCGCAGAAGCAGCGAGAAAGGATTCTGCTGTAATGTGAAATAG